TTATTATTATTATTATTATTATTATCTTCTAATTTTCCTTTTGTAGTTCTTGTTCTTCTTGTTTGAGTTTCATTTACCTTTTTGTTGTATACCAATGGCACTTTGTCCAATAGTTCACACATCTTCACTTCCGGTATAACAGATGGAGTATAGTATAGAAAAATGGCCATCTAATTGATAACCCATTATCGGTGAATTCTTCATCATACCAGCAAGCATAATTGGCATTCATGTGGTGGAGCTGTTATGCACAGCATTTCCTGGGCTCAGTGTGGGTGTGCAGCTTGACCTTCATTGCAGGGGGAATTGCAAAAAAAAAAAAAAAATCCTTGGAAGGTACTTCGAAGTGCTTGGCCTTGATTGACGGGAAGAGAATAAAGGATATAAATGGACATACGGTATATATGCTTTCTCCCAACGAATGTAGTGGCAGACAGGATGATTCTCTTCAGCTCAATAGAGCTGACGTCAATGTGACCAAAGGCAGATGGCGCCGCTCTTCAAGCCAGGTGGTGCAGCCTATTGACTGTCTTCTTTCCAGTTGGTCATCATGGACTGCTTGTGATGCTTGCCAGAAAAAAAGGGTAAGTCTGCTTGGAGTCTAAAATTAGTTAACTGTTTAATACACAGTTAATTCTGGTATACTAAAATGTGGAGCTTGGCACTATAAAACTGATCGTTGTCATGTCCACAGGACTTCCTTTGGGTCTCACCCACCAACATCGCTGCTTTTAATATTCATTTCTTCATCCTTTTTCATTCAGCTGACCAATACCCTGGGCAGGTGCTTCCCATGTTGACCACAGCAACAAAATACAGATGGTCCTTGACTTATGACCGTAATCAAGCCCAAAATTTCCATTGTTAAGAAAGACAGTTGTTATGCCTCATTTTACAATCTTTCTTACCATAGTTGTTAAGTGAATCACTTGCAGTTGTTAAGTTAGTGACGTGGCTAAGTGAATCTAGCTTCCCCATTGACTTTGTTTGTCAGAAGGTCGCAAACTGTGATCACATGACCCTGGGACACTGCAAGTGTCATAAATGCATTGCCAAGTGTCCAAATTTTGATCACATGACCGTGGGGATGCTAAAATGGACGTAAGCCTGAAACACAGTTACAAGTCAGTTTTTTCAGTGCTGTTGTAACTTAGAATGGTCACTAAACGTATGATTGTAGGTCATAGAATACCTCTATACAAGGATCTATTTATTGTAATTTTCTTCTTCTTAAAAGAAATGAAATAAAGTTAAAATAAATGCAGTCCAGAAATAGGAACCTTGGTTCCTTTTGGTGAATTCTCTAAACCTGTCACATTTATTCCTCAGGATTATTCTTCCTCAGTTCCTTGCCTTCTCTATGACACCCTCAAAGCTGCTCTGTTACCTTTGGGCTGTTTAGCACCTGCATGTGTGATCTCTTTTCAGAGACTTTTGCTTTTCTAACAAAAAATATTCCAATTCCTTAAAATTGTTGATAGTCTAATTTATGTGAATGTGAAAACTTTTCCTTCCCTCAGAAAGTGGTCTCCAGGCATTTTTCCGGCTTTCTTTCCTAAACATAAGAAAGTTCAGATACTCCCATACAAACATGCCTTCTCAAACCATTGGTCTTACAGAATTCCTTGCCACATTCATGATATGGTATAAATACTATTATTTTAACAGTAAAATATTTTAGGCATTCTGTCATAATACAATCATAGTAAATTGCAAAACTGCACTTTATTAGCATCCCTTGCTCTCTTAAACATGCAGAGTAACAACACTCCCAGCTTTAAAGCAAACTGCTTTAAAAGACAAAAGTAACAATTTGTAAATGTGACAGAAGTCTTGAGGAACACTGATTTTATGGTCCTATTTGAACTCTTCAGGCTATATTGCATAAGGCACAGAGCCTTTAGAAGGAGCTATCCTGCCTTCCTGTCTTATCCAGAATGAGGTTGGCAAGCCATTGTATTTTCGCCACTTACGCTGAAGCACTCCTGATATAGAACCCATTTGTGTTAAGTGACCTCAATTTCCAGTTTTTGACTAAGAGATGATGACACGCAGCTGCTCATTTTTCATCGTTGAGGTTTTTTCTTCCTACCTCGCAAGTGCCTCCCGACCAAGGCTTTTGATTGTTACAACATTAGTGGCAAAATTCCCATTATTTTCAAAAGTGCAGGATAATCTTTTCCTGTCACCACACTAAGACAATCATTTTCACAATCCCATTCCTCACCTTTGCTCAAAGCCAAAGCTTACATATCATTATTTATCATCATTATTCTTTGCGATTGGAATAGCAGCTCAACCCTTTATGGCCACTAGATTTGATTCCTCCTCTTTGTTACAAGAATAACCTTAGAAAAATAAATAGAGTACGCTGAGGAAAGCAAAGATAATACTGAGCAAGTAACTGAGATGGATCTATTATTTGCAAGCATTTGCATTTCAAGGCTACACAATTTCCAGTACTTTTTCAGTAGCTGTTTAGCAAGGAGTTAGAAATATGCGATCTAACATTAAAAAAAAATGGATTTTCTCCATTGCTCCAGATATCCCCCATAGAACTATAGTGAAGGAATTACAGTGAAGGTGTCAGTGGAAACAATGCATTACTTTCACATCTTATAGTCATTCTGTCAAAAAGGTGGATCAGCATAAGGATGAATTCATAGCAGATGTGAAACTAAAAAAAGGTTCCCGTGAATGTATTTGATTTATTTATCAGATTTATATAACTGCAGTTCTCACCAAAAACAACCTGAGACATGCATGAATTTCACAGTCAGTTTATGACAAGCAAACTAGGTGGGAAAGTCAGAAGGAATCCACAAATTGCAGTCATGTGATGTTGCACTTAATGACTCAAAGTGATTTGCTTAACAACCACAGCAGAACTGACATTATGAGTCACACGATGGTCACATGATGTTTCACTTAACAGCCCTGTCACCTAGCAACCAATTTGCCAGACCCAATTGCAATCAGTAAGTGAGAACTACCGGTAAGGTTATCAGATGAGATGGAAGCTTGAACAGAAAAGCAGATGTCATTCAATAAGAACAGATCACGAGATCTAGCTGCTCAAACAATAGCATAGAGGGGAGTCTTTGGAGTCATTCAGCCAAATGAGCTGTCTTGAAAGATGTACTCTGCTTATTCCTTGTTAATCCATGGGGCAAAAGATAATTGTGAAGGTGTGATGTTTTGTTAGCGTGTCACTTCAATGGATGAGCTCTCCATCCTGCTGTCATTATCAGACCAGCTGTCTAAGTAATCTAATTGCTGATCATAGAATTTTTGTAGCTAGAAGCAAAGTATAATTGGCTTCCTACATTTTCATCACTTTGTCAGTAGGCAAAATGCTATCCAGAATGCCAGTATCTGAAGCAAGTGCAAACTCTTGCACAATATTTTTCCTCTTGTTTTCTGATTTTCTTTTGTATTTATTACTTTTGGAGTAAGTTATGTTCCTAAAAGGTATGTAAGAAGTATGTAGTACTGTTTTCGTCTGGGTTAAAATTCAAGGGTTCTTTCCTAGACAACCATCTACTATACTGAGAAGTCACCTTAGCAGAATAAAGTGCTTGATGTATCTTATATTTAGTTTGCTCTGAAGTAAGGCACGGAGGTTGAAAGCTAAATTGTCCTCTCACACACATAGAAGCCCAGACAGCTTAAACACCAGCATTTCCAAGATCATGGGTAGACCAAAGAATACATTGGATTTTTAATTCACTATGGAACCTTCTTAGGATTAAGTAATCAAGGATTCAATTCCCATCTAAGACGTAACTTGCTATGCTTACACTTTTTCTCAAAATACCCTTCACATTATACAGTATGCATAGACAAGTAATTCTATATTAATTCAGAATTATTAAAAATTATTCTATGTTACATTTAGAAAACTGCAATCAAATTACATCTTGTATCCCAGAACAAAAAGAGAGAGAGCTCTTTTACATTTCCAGTATACATGTTGATGTTCCAACTAGCAAAGATCTATACCCATGGCTTTTAATTTAGGAGGGCTGGAATTCATAATATCTATTCTACTACAGTACAGATTTGCCCATGTGGAACAGCCTTCTCAGTTCGGCGGTGACCCGTGTGATTACACTGACAATGAAAATGAAGACTGTGTTATAAACAGACCTTGCAGTATTCCTCGGTGTGAAGGCTTTCTCTGTGCCACAGGTTAGAGAATTGGAGGGCAGGGCTCCTTAATTAAAAAGTAGTGGTTAACTGCCTATCTGTTGAATTAGATTTCCCTCAAATGGATTGAATGGAATATGGAGGGTTTTTTTTATTACCTTGTGTGTCACAAATGAATGTTGATCTTGTTTGCTTGACGGACATCATATACAAATATGACAGCAGAATCTGTGACAAGAATGGATCACACAGGCAAGTAGAACCAATAGGTGAATAGCCAAAAAGAGGCTATATTTATGGAATCATATTTGTTATCTAACCATTCAATTATTTTGTAAAGAAGTGTGCCTGTTATTAATTCCCCTCACACGTTCTCTTGAAAAGGCACATCTAAATGAGAAAAAGGATCACATAATTTCTGTCACATCCCTGATGAACATTTTTAGGTTAAATTAAATCAAATTTGATTGTACATTAACATTTTCAAACAGCCTACATGACAGGATTTTGAAGGCTTAATTTCTGATCTGATGGATTATAAAATGCAATAAGAATAACTGTCTTCCCAAGTGATTGCTGACTGGCTATACACTGCTAATTAGAAGCAAAAAAACCTTTTTTATTTTCAAGAAAGACTTTAAGTACAATCATCAGCATTACTTGTGTATTAATTTTCTCTGAACCACCTTTGTTCATCAACCTTCACTGTGAAACGACAGGGTGGATTTATAAAGGCCATTACTGTTGAGCTTTCTGTGGCTTTGTCGCTTAAAAATTTAACATTCTGCTTTTCCTCAATAGTGCAGCAATAGCAACTTTTTTAGACTTTACCGAAAAAGCTTCAGGCTGGAATTTGCTGTGGTTGATAAAGGAATGCATGAAACATTAAGTTGCTAAGGTCTGTGTGAAGATTACAAAGTGTACATAAGTTTGTCACATAATCTACTTGAATGCCATTCTGCTCAAGACAAAGAGTATAACGAAGCGGAGGTATGGATTGTGTAGGGTTAAATCAGATTGGCTTGAAAGATCTACAAACATGGAAAAGGAAAATATACAGCAGTTATTAAGCTGGAGTGTGAAAATGTAAAATGAATGTCAGAAACGAAGTTTTGAGAATGAAGAACTCCTTATCAAGAAGAGCTTGAAGACTTGGTTCTGCCAACTCATGTGGGGATCAAAGAGCACCATGCAAACTTGGCAGTGGTTGGTACCTTGAGGTGGTCCTTCTGCCTTTTCATGTATTTTTATTTTTGTTTGTACTAGTTTTTCATCCTGTTTTAATTCTAATTGTGTCTTTTTATATGGTTTTATGATTTTACTATAAACCTCCTAGACTAGAGCCACTTAGTGAGATGGGCAGTGTTTAAATTTGATAAATAAATAAAATATTTAAAAAGATGGTTTCTCCAAAATTCATAGTTGGACAATATATTTATTAGTCTCCATGCATATGTTACCAAAAACCATGGAAACTTTTGAGTTATTCAGGCTCATCACCAGGCAAAGGGTTATAAAAATAGGTATGGAAGGGGGGGGAGTCTAAAATGTAGGCCAGAAGTTTCAACCAGGAAGTCTATAATTTTCAAACAGTTTTCATATAAACACTGAAGACGGAATGCATTAGATACTGTAGACTGTTATTGCTGTTAGATTATACTTAATGTTCAGAGATGAAGAAAACATTTGCTTCTATCAGGTTTGGACATAGAAAGTCAATCATATTTTTGTGATTTAAATATCTGGTAGAAAATGGACCAAAAGCCATCAACTGGACTCCATTTACATAGATTTGAAGTTAGAGATAGACATTTCAAATTAAAGCATCTTTTAAACAGTGGCCCTTTTCTGTTGTAATATTGTGTCAAACTTCATACCAGCATACCAGGACAGATGAAAAACCACAAAGTGTTTCTTTAACACATTAAATAGTTAATGTGTGGACTCTGATGCTCCAGTAACCAAGTTATAAGAGCTGTCAACTTCAGCTATCTTTAAGGATAGTTCTGATTATTCTTGGTGAATGTATTTTAGCTCTAGAACTGGAGGCACTTTTTCTCACAGTAGAGAAGATAAGGAGAAAGATAGTAGGAGGGTTAGATCTGGCAAAAGCAGAAGTAAAGGACTTTTGATTAGGCTAGTAGGCCATTACAATAAAAATGCACAGATGTCAGCTGCCCTCCTATCCTTCGCAACACTGAAGTACAGAAACATCTTTTCAAATAAAGACGTCAGTATTCAGAACAGCTTTTGGCTAGAGGGTTGAATGATGCCAATGCAGATTCCCATGTACCAGTAAACACTCCATTAATGGACTATTTGGGGAAGATGGGTTCATTAAAACCAAATGTCTGTTATCTATGTTTGTTTATATATTAAACCAATGTATATAGCCTTCCATCTCACAAACAGCAACTCTGGACAGTGTTAAAGTCTGAATAGGATTTTTCAAGCCCGCAAACATACTTGAATAACAATAGCACCTAGACTTATATACCACTTCACAGTGCTTTACAGCCCTCTCTAAGCGGTTTACAGTATCAGCATCTTGCCCCTAACAATCTGGTCCTCATTTTACCAACCTCAGAAGGATAGAAGACTGAGTCAACCTTGAGCCAGTGAGACTCGAACTGCCGAACTGCTGGCAGCCGGCAGCCAGCAGAAGTAGCCTGCAGTACTGCATTCTAACCATTGCGCCATCACAAAACATATAAGGAAAAAAATGGTTGTAGTTCAGGAGCAAGATAGTGTTCAAATGATTCTGCAAACACAGATATGGCAGATTGATGTGCCAAGACCACAATTGTGAAGTCATGTAGATGTTCTGAATCAGAACTCATGAAGACCAGAGTCAGAACAAACTCTTAGCTTTATGGACCTACAGTAAGGGGCTTTAAGAGGCAAGCAGCACACTAGGCAATGACTAAGAATCTCCCTAGACACTAGGCAACTATACTCTTCTTTTAAGTCCAGCAAATTTTGTCCATTAAATGCAGAGTCTGTTAAATATGCAGTCCATCTTATGGTAAGTTCCAGATGGTCTTTTTAAATGCAATATAATCTGCTTCTAATCATAAAAATGATTCTGAAAACAATGCTTAAAAATGTGTGCCTCCCTAAACAACACTTAAGTGTAGGGAGATAAACAAGAGTTTTCAATGGAGCTAAAATGACTGTGGGATCTGCATGTATTGAAAGCCTAGGAATTGCATTGATTAACCTGCAAAGTCTGTCCAATGAATAACAAGTTTATTCTGGGTTTTAGGCCGATGCATCAATCGTAGGCTGCTTTGCAATGGAGATGATGACTGTGGAGATCAATCAGATGAAGCTGATTGTAAGAAGGTATATCAGAGGTGCAATCAGGTTTTGGAACAATTTTGGGGAATACAGAGGCTGTCAAGTGGGTAAGTGCAGAATTAATCCCAAATTTAATAACTGATTACTAGGACTGGGTTAGAAGGTTAAAGCCATGAAACATTGACAACATATGAGTCCATATCAGGTGCAAACCAGCTTTCCATGGATCATTCATAAAACTATTCCATTATTACAGTCTGTTTTTAAATGTATTAAATGTATGTATGTTGTACATATATTTCACTAAATGATAAAATGTGCAATATTTTAAAGAAATACACACACACACACACACATATATATATATAAAGCATACTGTTTTGCTCATTTTATGTGCACTGAACTGATTATATGTTTAATTCCTTCTCACCCCTATGGGTGGTACATGCCTTCTACATATTCCAGTCTGTACCACAGAGGGTTTTGCAGAATATTTTAGCTGCTTCCCACATTTTTTCTTTCTTAGTTTAGGGTTTTTTTCCCCCCTAATGTATTTCCTTTACGTTGGTTCTTATTAATTTTTATTTTTACTTTAAATTGAAAGATCGTTTTATTAAGTGTATATACTGAGAACATAAAACAATACGAAGTATTTCAGCTCTCTGTATCAAAGAATGACTTCTTACTCCTAGTGTTATTCTCCCACTATGGCAGGGTCCACTTAGTTAGAGTCTAATGGTGGGCTACGAGGTCCTTACTGCAGAAGTAAAAAGGCACTTTCTGCAGAGCTATTACCAATGTGAAATCTATTGACTCTCTACCTGTTTCTTTTATTCCCAGCTTTAATGCTTTCACAAATAATCTAGAAGGGGTGATTTTAGACTATAAATATTATGCAGGAGCATGTCGGCCACAACATATTGGTACCTTTGGTTTTAGAAAACCATATAATGTAGAAAGTTATTTGGCTGAGGTGAGTAGCTAAGAATTAATTCTTACATCATTTGAAAAGACTCAATAATCTTCTTCACTAAGATTCAACTAATTTTAAATCATTGATTTATTTCACCTATTTTAATATTGATTCCTGAGATTGATTTACCGTATATAATATATTTGATATGCTCTATTAAAGTAAAAAAAAAAAAAGAATCCACCGCCTACCTCTATATTTTGTTTTACATTGAGTTGTTTTAGCTGGGTTTCAGATGATTTGAGCCTTCTCAAATATTATCTGTCAACCTATCACCCAGAAGGCCACTTCAAAGATCCTTTGTTGGAACTGAGTATGCCCTTCTGTATATCCTTCCTATAGGGAATTAGAATCAGGTAAAATACTTTGAATAGAAAATGGACAGGGCAACAATCTTTGCGATTCTTAAACACCTGGAACAGATTTTCAAAAGGCTCACGATGTTGCAGGTGGAACTAAGAATCAGAAAACATCTGCTATGTGCAAATATATAGCCAATCTACATTTTGAATAGGATTACTCTTTTAAGTTTAACAACTTCTTTAACAACTTCTATGAACAAGCAGTATTCCTACAATATTTGCATTACTTATTGCACTAAGCCACATACAACCTATGCTTAAAGACAATTATTCATGTAAAATTAAAATGACTAAAAGCCCAATGTGATATACCAATGAGTGAAAAACATACATGCACAAATTATGTTTACCTTAAGTAATAAATTAACCATTAGTAAGTTGATGTGCAACAGTAACCATTAAAATTCATTAAAAAGCTATTTTCCAAAGCGCCTAAAGGCAGGACAAGAAGCAACAGATGGAAACTAATCAAGGAGAGAAGCAACCTAGAACTAAGGAGAAACTTCTTGACAGTTAGAACAATTAACCAGTGGAACAACCTGCCTCCAGAAGCGGTGAATGCTCCAACACTGGAAGTTTTTAAGAAGAGACTGGACAGCCATTTGTCTGAAATGGAATAGGGTTTCCTGCCTGAGCAGGGGGTTGGACTAGATGACCTCCAAGGTCCCTTCCAACTTTATTATTATTAGTTAGGACTAGGATTTCATCAGATTTTGCCGGTATCTAAAAAATTATTAAAAGTGTAGCTGTAGTTTCATTGTTTATCTATCTTCACAGCTGAATGTTTTGATCCTAATTATAGCATGTAACCTATTGTGGACTACTTTTCATTCTCAATTTTTTCTTTGTTCCTTCCTACATTTCAAACATGACATTTGAGATATTATTTTTCTCCTTGCTTTGTGTTTAGACCAAAGGCAAATATGAATTTTCAATGACTGCGCATGAATCGTATTCAAGTTTTGAACACAGTGTCTCCAGGGTAAAAACAAAACAAGAAAGTTTTAGCTTTGGATTTACTATACCCGGTATATTTCAATTTAGTTACAGTAAGAGTGACAAACGATATCAAAAATTTGCTAGCAGGACGAAAAGATTTTCTTCAAAGGTAAACTTTTCTTATGCTTCTTCTTAGGCTTATTCTAGTTTGTTCAACATACACTCTAAAAGCCAATCACATTACAATTAAAATATTATGAGTAGAAAACCATGTTTCCTTTTTTGAAATTATGAATAACAAGATTTTTTTTCCTCGGGGTTCATATATTTTACTTAGAGCAAGCAATGCCAGACCATCTCCATCTGTAATTATAGTTTGTCATCTCTTTCTACATTTATAAAAATGCTTAGCTTACATCCTGTAAAATGAGGTACATAGGTAAGTTATTCTGTACCTCTAGGAAGAAAAGCAGGGCATAATCTAATTTATAATCTAATTTTTAATCATAATGTATAGAGGTTATTAAATGTAGCATTTATTGTAGGGTCTATGACAATTCACCACAGCCAACTTGCCACTGCAGGGCAAGAGTTACACTAATATCAAAGAAATTTGTTGTTGTTAGTTGCGAAGTCGTGTCCGACCCATCGTGACCCCATGGACATCATTCCTCCAGGCCTGCCTGTCCTCTACCATCTTCTGGAGTCCATTTAAGCTCACGCCTACTGCTTCAGTGACTCCATTCAGCCACCTCATTCTCTGTCGTCCCCTTCTTCTTCTTCTTCTTTTTAAAAAAAACAAGTTTTATTGTTTTTTTCTTTTTACAAACAAGTGTTTAGCAAACAACGTGATGACAGGGTAATCAATTATCCAAGAGCAAAATCATACATTTGTAATTCAAATTGGATCATTAAAAACTCCCTCTCTATTTCCTCAAATAATATGTTATATTCAAATTAATGTATTGCAATACAGTTAAGTCAATCAAAACAATCATCAATAACATTTCATCTATATGAATCCAAATCCTGTATTAAGCTTTACTATTTTCAATTACCATATTCCGTTTCGCTACAATAAAAATGTTATTAACACTTCAGGTGTCTCTCCATTCCCTTTTTCTATTGCCCTCAATCTTTCCCAGCATTAGGCTCTTTTTCAGTGAGTCCTTCCTTCTCATTAGGTGGCCAAAGTGCTTGAGTTTCAACTTCAGGATCTGGCCTTCTAAAGAGCAGTCGGGGTTGATCTCCACTAGGACTGACCGGTTTGAATCAAAGAAATAGTGGAATAGAATCATTAAAGAAAGGATGCAAAAGGAGAGATAGAATGAAATGTGACTGACAAAAATTAAAATATGTTTTATTTATTTTAAATGATTAAATAGAGTTATTAAATTGTCCTGTGGCGAGTTGGCCATGGCAAGTTGTCCCACAGCTAGTTGGCTGTGACGAGTTGGCCATTCTGTTACTGTACATGGGCACAGTTGTATGGATATTTTTTTTTAAATGGAATCACTGGCTTTCCCCCACACACACACACAAAATATTCATTTGACAAAGTTGGCAAGGGGCATGGCAGTGACATGAAAATATCTTTGAAAGGGTGAGGGCATATTGGAACTAATTCCAGCACCCTCTTTTAAAGCCTAGAGGTTTCAATAAATAAAATAATTGTTTATTCCCTATGAGAGCCTTCTGGGGGAAAAAAAATTCTGTCAAAAGCAAACTCACATAAAAACGGGGCTGTAAAAGACTGTGTGTGGTGCAACATTATTGTGGAATGATCACTTTGTAATTTAAAAATGAATGAGCCAATATCTAGAATCAAACTCAGTTTCACTCTACATATTGGGTTCTTACAAACATTTAACAATGTATTTCCAACCTATACAGGTAGTCCTTGACTTACGACCACAATTGAGCCCAAAATTTCTGTTGATAAGTGAGACATTTGTTAAGTGAGTTTTGCCCCATTTGACAACCATTCTTGCCACAGTTGTTAAGTGAATCACTGCAGTTGATAAGTTAGTAACCAGGTTGTTAAGTGAATCTGGCTCCCCCATTGACTTTGCTTGTCAAAAGGTCGCAAAAGGTGATCACGTGACCCTGGGACACTGTAACTGTCATAAATATGAACCAATTGCCAGGCATCTGAATTGTGACCACATGATCATGGGGATGCTGCAAAGGTCGTAACTGTGAAAAATGGTCATAAGTCACATTTTTCAGTGCTGTTGTAACTTCGAACGGTCACTAAATGAACTGTTGTAAGTCCAGGACTACTGTAGTTAATGTAAATATCAGAACAAGGCCACCAATAGGCATTTGCATAAGATACATAAGGTGGGTAATGCTATGATGGACCACATTGTAATCACTCCTCTCAATCTCTTCTGATGCTTTCCTTTAGTCTAGCAGGTTTGTCCATGCTCAAGCAGAGCTGGAAGTTGCCCAATATAAACTGAAGAGACAGGACTTGATGCTTCACTCTGAGTTCTTCCAGAGAATCCTTCATTTGCCTCTGGTGTATAGCTATGGGGAATATCGAGATCTTTTCAGAGATTATGGAACACACTATATCATTGAAGCAACTCTTGGTGGCACTTATGAATATACTTTGATCATGAACAGCAATGAGCTTCAGAAGGAAGGTACGATTGAGGAGAGAGGATTGTCCATTAGCTACATGATTTATGCTGAGTTTTTAAAAGGTTTTATCTTCCCTTGCAAACGCATGTTCAAATTTAACATGGCTCAACATGGCACAAGGTGCCTTCGTTGAAATAAATTATGGATTTGGGTTGATTAATTTTCCATTGTTCCATGAGTTTTGGTTACTTTGAGCATTCTAGAGACTGATTGCTGGATTTTTGCAAAAATGGGACCACTTAAAATGCATCCCACTTTCTTGTTTTTTAAAAATTTCTAACACATTGATATCATCTGTCCCTTTTGACGTGATAATTGTAAATTGTGTGAAATATAGTACATCTCGTAACAAATTTTACCCCTCATTGTATTTTTTTTTTATACAATGAGAGGTAAAATTTGTTATGAGATGTGCTACATTTCACAGGAAAATAGTAAGCAAATAAGTTCCCTTATTTAATTCCTCCTTAGTAACCACTTTTCTATCAACACCCATAAAAATGCCCTCATTTTGCTTTTGTGGACTTATTTTCCAAGAAAGACTGGCTAGTTACATGCCACTGAAACTTTTCAGTGGGAAAAAATTAACAGATTTTAATTCTCTCAAATTATTGAACAGATTTTGGCTTTTGGCTTTCATGAGACCACCATCTGTTTTTAAAAATGTGATGGAATCATGGTATATTGAGGCAAGCCATTTTAATCATCTCAATCACAACTGAGTTATGGGAATCAATTTTATACAGCTTCATATCCAGGAAGCAATAGGCAGCTGATGGAAAATCTGGCTGTTACAATGTTCAGATACCAGCTTCCATTCTGAAGGAATTTCTTGCATGAGAAGCAAAATGTCTTCAAGGAAAAAACAGAAAAGTCCAGTTGCCTTTTGAAAAACTAAATTTGGGACAACCAGGACCTGGATGACTGAAAATCTCCATCCAGACATCAGGGAGTTAGTTGGCTGAGTGAGAAGTCACCTAAAAGCTGGATCCTGTCTCATTTAGGACTTTTGGGGATGTACCTGTGCATACCATTGGAAATTAGAAATTCTTTTAGAAATTATTTTACAGCCATTTATATGAGTTGAGAACATCCCCTTGGGACAATTATGTGATTGAGTCAACTGAGAAAACCTGGAAGTCCAACACCTTTACCAAATATTCTAAGATTGCCACTTTCTCTTTTCTTTTCTGAAAGTATCCAGATTGTCCCCTTTTGGGAAATAGTAAATAATTGACTAGGATGAGTCCCCTATCTGACACTATCCTTACAGGGTGATGGATGCTGCTTTTACAAGGCTGATGCTCTTTGGACAGAACAAACATTGCTCTGGGCTGTTAATCAATAGTTTCAGTCTCTTGTTTACCCATTGGCGAAGGGAAGTTGACAAACATCTGTGCAAGACCTCCTCTGTAAGCCACGCTTTTCAGCAAGCAGCATTTCGCTTGGGGCTGAGAATATAGACGCTAAGTTTTAGCCTCTTAGAGAAAAACAACGAGCTGGAAAGAATGTTAGATTGTGGGCTTTCTTTACTTATTTATTTTATTTATTTATAAAATTTATAGACTGCTCATCTTACCTCAAGGTAACCCTGGGCGACTAACAATAAAAAAAACCCTATATAAATTAAAAACATAAATAAGTTAATACAAAATCCAAAACACTAACGCCCAGTCCAACGTTGGGGAGGGGGGAGCAGGATGGGGGGAGGTGGATGTGTTAATCAATCAATCAATCAATCAATCAATCAATCCCCCATTGGAGCCCCAAGCATTTTAATTAGCAATTAGTAAATGATTCCAGTGTCACTTCAATTGTCTAACTTAAGCATGGCTTAAGACTGTTGGAATTCTGCATACACTGAGCAATGTTCATTACAGGATCCAATCTGGGTTGGTCACCAGGACCAGAAATTTTATCTTCCAAGCTTTCGGGCTTATGCAGGAGCCCATCTTCAGGGAACTTAGGGAGAAGTTCCCTGAAGATTGGCTTCAACACGAGTCCGAAAGCTCGGAAGACAAAGCCTCTGGTCCCAGTGACTGACACAGATTGGATCCTGCAACATTATCCTGGGACATGTATATTCGCCTTCATTCATAACGTTCACTATGTTGTTTGGATGTTTTGTTCAGTATGTTTCTCAAAATGCTTTTGCAGTGTCAAAAAAAAATATTCTCTGAGTGTAGCCTGCCAGAGTAGCTACGGAATGATAGACTCCTAGAACATATATTCAATATTAATTAATGATATTCCACCAGTAATGCTGTGAAGAAGTACTGCATTCTTTCACTGTAGTGTTTAAATCTGAACAATGAAGCACAAGCTGTCCTTATGCGATAGCTTTTCACAAGAGTAATATATGAAGGCGCCTTGAACTGAGAAGATTCTTCCATTTTGAAGGACTGGAATTAGTTTTCTATTATAGCCACCATTCCTGAAAACTGAGGTGTAAGCTTGGGGCTTGGGGGTGATCAAGGTTCAGATCCACCAGATCAACCACAGAAACTCATTTGATGATTTGGGACCAGTTCGCTCTCTTCAACCTAACCTGCCTCACAGGTTGCTACTGTGGGAATTAAAAGGAAGGCCATCATTATATAGCTGCCTTGGACTCCTAGATTAAAAACAGATTATTAAAATAAACTCAAAGCAAGTATGTGTACATACAGGGTTGCAAATTAAGGGAAGGTGAATCCTTGAAACTGCCTCAATTCTGAATGCAAGCTGGTGTTTTTAAATACATATTTGTTTTGTTTTCAAAGGATACAACTTTAGAGATGTCCAAGCCTGTACACAAAATGGAGTTAAAGTTGGCGTAACTATTGAAGAAGTTAGTGTATCAGCAGGAATAACTGCTGGAGGGTGTAATGCCATTTTAAAGGAAATTGGAGGTGAGGCTGTAACCATCAAGTAAATGTCCCTTTCATATTTGACTGTCTGTCTGTCTGTCTGTCTGTCTGTCT